CCCAAGGGGGGAATAAACATATGTCCACATAAAAACTTGTATAGTTGTAATCAAAGCAGCACTATTCATAATAGCCACAGTGGTAACAACCTAAATGACTATGCTACGGATAAGAAAGATGTAGCATAGTCGCAGAATGGAAAATTATTTAGCCAGAACAAGGAATGAAGTACTTATTGACATGATACCATGGATGAAACATGAAAAGATTAAAGTAAGCAAAACAAGCAAACAAAAAGACACAAAAGGTCCCATATTGTATACTTCCATTTACAACAGCTATCAACAGAGACAGAAAGTAGAAGTAGGTTAGTGGTTACCAGAAGCGGAAATGGGAGGAGGGATGTTGAGTGGCGTCTAATTGTTACAAAGTTTCTTTCTGAGGGAGTAAAGGTGTCCTAAAATTGTGTTCCTAGTTAGAAAATTCTGTGAATTTACTGAAAACCATGTAATAGTACATTTTAAATGGTTAAATTTATGGTATGTGAATTATATCTCAATGAAGTTATTAAAATATGCTTGACACATCTTTAAAAATCAGTTTTATAGATAGTGGTGTGATAGTAAATGTTTAATAGTCAGCTATCCAAGTGTAGTTCTGCCATGATTGTGATAGATTTGTTCATTTACATTAGCAAATAAGAGTGAAACAATGAAGATCCATGTCAATACCTCATCAACAAGGGTACCTGCATAATGAGCATTTATATACCTAACCCTGAATTGTATCCCATGTATTTAAAATTAAAATTAAAAAAATCTGAGTGAAAGAGCTCTGTATTGGCAAAGTGAAGGCTACAAGATAGAAACTTGGCCTATTGAGACATGTAAACACGTAGCCTTTCATTAAAGAAGCTTTAAAAAGGGAAACAAGGTAAAATCCAAGTTCAACAGATATTAAAAAGTTTATTAGTTTATTTGACATTATTTATTGAGTTCCTAATGTATTGAAGACACTGTAATAGGACCTAGTAATACAAAGGTAAATAAAGATACAATTTCTGCCTTTGTGGAATGCATACTCTTAGTTGCTGGGTTAGATAGGCAAGCAAAGCAAATATTGCAAGAACTGTATTATAAAATGCAGAGATATGTCCCAAGGTCTATGGAGAAAAGAGAGAAGAAATAGGAGGAAGGATAGAGTGACTGAATATTTTTTGAAAATGCAAGTCAAACTTTTGGAAAAGGTGCTATTTGAATTGGGTACTAATGAATGAGGAGTGTACTAAGTGGAAATGAGGAGAATCTAAAGCAAAGAATATGGTACTAAAATGCATGAGAATATGAAATGAATCATGGATGGGCGACTCCTAAATTTCAGATGTTAAAAACCTGTTATGTAACTGACATATCCTACATCATCAGCTCCAGGTACAAATATAGTCACATCATTTTTATTTTCCTAATTACTACTTGTCCTTATCAGTCTTCTTTGCCCTTATTGGCATTACCTCTTCTTAAGCCCCACCCTGCTCTGTGAATTTGTATCATCTCCTGGTTCTTATTCAGTCTGAGGGAAAGGGATAATGTTCCTTGATTTCTGTTTTCAAACACAAGTTAATAGATGCTTTGGCTGCTCTGTTACAGCTCGCTGACACACATGTGATTAATCACCATTTCCCAGATGAAAGGTGCTGGGTGACCCACCTTTTCAGGACAACACTGCAGCCCCTGGGTAGAGTCTCATGTGTGAGCTTATTTCATCTGGCCTTCTCAGGATTGACTTCACTGGCTTGCTGTTGTCTTGCTTGCTACCAGAGTAATGCATTAAAAGCGGAGTAGTACCTTATGCACAAATTGGTACAACTGAGAGAAACCACTGAAGAACTCTGTTCACAGAACAAAGCATTGTTCAAATTGACTGTGTCCTGCCTTTATTGAGAAGCAGCTGGCAGTTTCCCAATGTGTGTGTGTGTGTGTGTGTGTGTGTGTGTGTGTTTGTGTACATCATGTGCATGTGTGCATATTTATCACACACACATGCATATGCACACACATAGTAATACAATAAATTATAAAATATAAAAAATTACTATCTTAAGAGGCTTCCTATTTAATCTCTGCTTTAAGAGGCTCCCTATTATTACTCTGATAAAATACATAATGATCTATAGTCATTGTTACCACCTAGGCTTTATATTTTTTAAGAATTTATGTAGAAATAATGTGACTTTTGCAGTGACTATTCCTTATGTGAATCTAAGAATATTGAAATATTCTCAATCCTTGATTATGTCTGATTCAATTCCAAGTTTGAAAATACAGTAAGAGTGATTTCTTTAGAATGGACATGTGATTATGCCAGTTTCCTATTTGAAACATTTCACCAGATTCCCCTTGTCCTTAAACAAGCTTCAAATTTTGCACATTGCCTAAGTAGAACAAGGCTGCTATTGCCCTGGTCTCATCAAGGCTCTATTTCTGCCCTAGTCTTCCCTCTATCCCTGTCCCATGTATGCTTTAACATCGGTTATTCTGAGATTTTTTTTAATTTTCTCCAAAGATCTCTGGCTTTCCCTCACGCATACTCTTTCCTCTCTGCCTACAGTGCTTTTCTATTCTTTCTTCCACCCTATTCTAATCTTTACTTGAATTCGATTCTTGCCCATGGCAAGCCCAACTCAAGACTGTATACGTGCCCCCTTAAGCATTGTAGATACACTCAGTACTAGCGCTCAAGGCAAGGTAAGTTGTCAAAGACCAGGTGAACTGAGATGACTGAGAAAGCAAATAGCTTTTTACATAGGTGCAGAAGTCATTACCTAGTTATGGTAGCACACAGTCTCCAAGTGAAGGAAATGGAAGGTTAGTTGATCTAGGAAAGAAGAATGATGTGAAAGACTAATTCAAGTAACAGGGCTTCAATTGGTCTCTCTACTAAGATCTCAGGCTGAATTGCTAATGATGTGAACATTATTTATAAGTCCCCATTATTTAGCAAAATTGTACAATGGAAAATTAGACAATACTGGAGATTTCTATTTATGAGTTCTAGGTATAAAATCTTACCTAAAAGCTAAAACTTGGTCCCCTAAAAGACAGATTGTGTAAATTATTGATAAATACATTTTTAAAACTTTGTACTATATCTTGATTCTGTTAAAACGTAGCATTACTCGTCATACCATGTAGTATTTTGAGACGTACTGTTGCATTAATTACTACTTTGGCACTAAAACATGTAATCCAGTTGCATAAAAACTAGTACTCTTTAAAATATATAAATACAAATAATACTTGATTTAAAGTTGTTTTGTAATGTTGGCTGATACTTTCCACAGAAATCTGCGATTGATTTCCAATCAATAAAATTGAAATTCATTTATCCATTTTGTGATGTAAGTAACCTCTAATGAAGAGAGGAACTCCAAACTAAAATATTTAGAAAATACTTATGTATGACAGCTAATAATAAAGGAACCTCCTTAGAACCTCATTTTGCCTGTTAAAAGCTTAAAGACATTTCTTGGTCACTATTATACATAGAATCAGTCTGAGGAATTTCTTAGAGAACACGCAGATATGAGCAAAAATAAAATAAACTGAGAATGCCATCTTAGAAATATCAGAAGAGCAAGATTTTTAATCAACGATTCTTACACCATGGACATAATTAAGATAATAAGATTAATTTTATCCAATAAAAATGTATTTGTTGTGGAACTTGTAGAATTGACTTTACAGATACCCATGTCTCACCTCAGGGAGAGTGCATCTAACCAAATTATTTTTCTATTTACATTGTATAATCCCTCATAAGCACAATTTCAGGAGATTATTATTAATTCATAGCTTAACTATGAAGCTTTCAGTACTTAGAAACTTCCTTCCTTGTGCCTAAACTTTAAAGAGTTGTCAGTGACCTCTAGTGATATTCTCATTAACTTATGACTTCTGCTAATTGAGCAAGTTTGCTTATATCAATTGCCAGCAAAAGTATTACTAGGGCTTCACTGTCAGCAGCTCACATGGTGTCCATCCTGAGAAGGGAACTTACCTAAATCCAAGCTGGAGTAGACCCTCACAAGACCCCATTTCATCCTCCAATTTCTGACTCCACTTGGAGGTAGCAAGATTTTGAACCTAGTATGTACTGGAATATTTCAGTTCTCCAATGCTCATTGAGGCTTGGATAGACCAGGTGTGTGTAAAATAGCAGAAACTGTCCTGAAATAAATGTGACATTCTGCAGGCATTAAATTCATTCCACCTTTTAGTTCTGCGACGTCAGCTTATCTTACTAAGTAATTGACCAATCTGTATTCACCATTAAAATATTCTTTCCTAAGCAACACACTGAAAGACATTAATCTCCAGAGTAGTATCATTGGTTTTGCCTATAATGAAAATCCCCAATATTAATTATCATGAATTTTTGTTTTAATGTGCGTTTATACCTGAGTATGTTAGATTATTTAATTAAAATATTATTATTTGTGAATAAAAATATGTAATAACATTTTCTTGGGATCTCAGATTTATAGTTCTTCTTCTTTCCTAGTCAAAGATTTTGCTCCCTTTTTATTTCCCGCATTCAAGACTGAAAAACACCATCTACCTGCCTTATGAAATCTTATAATTATCAACATCATGTGCCCTCTGATATCTTCCTTTGAGAAGCGTTCATAACCTCTGTGGTATTCTTGTCAATCATTCAAAACCTAAATCTAGGTTTTGAGAAAACATCAGACAAATCTTACTGGAAGAACATTCTATAAGATAACTGACCGGTTCTCTTCAAAATCTATAAGATAACATTCTATAAGATAACTGACCAGTTCTCTTCAAAATCTTATAAGCGTCTCAATCATTAAACAAGCTATGCTGTCAAAAAGCACACATTCTATAGATTTGACAAAGATTGAAAATACACGAAAAATTATTATTTTAGAAAGATATTTCATTATATGAATGAAGTGATCAAAATATTACCTGCCAGTTTGCCTAAAATAAGTGTGTACATGTAGTTTTATAACACATTTCCATCACTTCTCTCCACAGGCGACTCAGCTAATCTAACCTGCAGAGCTTTCTTTGGGTACAGTGGAGATGTCAGTCCTTTAATTTACTGGATGAAAGGAGAAAAGTTTATTGAAGATCTGGATGAAAATCGAGTTTGGGAAAGTGACATTAGGTAATTTTTTTTTCTGTTAACTTGTACAGTCAAGATTAGTATTTGCTGTGTTAGAGAAGAAAAAGTGAACTAAAGAAAAACAAGAGATTTTTGGTTTTACTATTATTATAATAAAAATACCACAAATTGAATGACAAAGAGACTGTCAATGAAATTGCAGAAATGTGAATGCTATTTGCAAATAATTTAAAAGAAATAAAAAGGAGTGTTTCATTAAGGAATATATTGCCAGGCCAAATTGCCATAAAATGTAAATATATGTTATTGTAACTTTTGTTTGTAAGAGATTATTTTTTTAACTGTTAAGAGAAAACATAAGGTATGAGTACTCAACCAAACTCAATGTCTGTCATTTTATTTTATATGTTTTTACATATATGAGCAACCAAGTGGAATATAAAGCATTTGATGGGAGTGATAAAGAATATATGTATCTTAGTCTGTCTTGAAGGTCTAAATATTTATATAGTGGGAATAATACCAACAAACTGACCATTTTAAAACGCTATTTATTTTGAAGGCATAATAATAATGCTTAAGCTTCTTTAAAAATTTTTATTTATTTATTTATATTAAGTGTCAAGGTAGTCAATGCTGACTAAAATTATACTTGGACATAGATATTTATTTTTAATCATATTCTAAATATGCAAGGACATTAATAATAACATAATAAAGATCAATTCTAAACATCCTCTTATATAAAGTTTGCATCTTCTGGACACATATGAGCATTTTTTCATTGCTTCCCTAGATAAAATACTTTAATATAAAATAAACACATATCAAACTGTCATATTAGGCTGTTTCTATAGGAATCTTCTTTTTTGGCAACAAATACAAAGTAGTATCACACTCTAGAGTGCTCCAATTGGATTCTGGAAGGCTCAGCTGGGTAATTCTCCATTGTGCACTGGAATAAGACTCTGCCACTTTTTCATACTTAAAACTTCACTCTTATATTTTACCCATACTCTAGAAAAAGCTAAAATTAAAGAAAGATCATAAACCTCTTAACTTTTACGGCCTGTGGTTTTGTGTGTACTCAGGGAAGAGTCTAGAAAGATATTTTTCTTTAATTCTGCATTAGAAAATGTTGTGCAGAAATGAGTTACCCAACAGATGGGAGGGGAGGTGGAGGTGGAAACATTGAGAGCAGGAAAAGGGAACCTTTGTTTGAAATTTCCCATTTGCCCGGAGAGATTCCTTAATTACTTGACAGTGAGGTTAGTGAGCATTTACCTTTAATTTTAAAGGTTAAAGTTAGACACTTTACCAGAACTTTTAGTCTGTAGGTTTATAATTTTGTATTCCTTTAAAAATAGGCAACTTGTTTGTATCATTAACAAAAGTCAGGCTGGAGGTTTCAACTGAAATGTCAAAATAGCTCAGAAATTGTCTTTTCTTTATTTTTAAAAACATTATCCTGATGTAAAATTAGGCCTCCAGCCTAAACATTAGCATTTCTTATTTCAACTTTGCATAATATTTCTTCTTAAAGGTAAAGCGATTTGTAAACTTTTCTTCAAGGTCTCTCTCACCTCTTTATTATGACAGTGTGATTGTCCTGCTAAGAGAGATAATTAACTGCAACTTCATTAGCATCTACAAAGACAAGTTCTCTCATTAGAAGTGAAGAAGAAAAGGGCATAATATAATTTAATTAACATAGCTTCAATCTATAGCCAAATTTGAAACACAGATTCTGTAGGTATTTTAACATCAGATTTGGATTTAGTTACATTTATTTCTTTCTCGTGTATGTGTATGTTTGTTTGGGGATTTTTGTTTGTTTGTTTTGCTTTATATTTTAGAATTCTCAAGGAGCATCTTGGGGAACAGGAAGTTTCTATCTCATTAATTGTGGACTCTGTGGAAGAAGGTGACTTGGGAAATTACTCCTGTTATGTTGAAAATGGAAATGGACGTCGACACGCCAGTGTTCTCCTTCACAAAAGGGGTGAGTGTAACCTTCTAAGCTTGAGTGGTCAACTGAATGTATAATAGAAGGGAAATCATTGGGAACCAAGAAACAAATTAAATTTTGTTTTTCTACCAAACACCGTATGTTCTTCCTTATGAGTTGGGGCTAAACTAAGGATATGCAAAGACACAGGAAATGGTATATTGGATACTGGAAACTCAGAAGTGGAAGGAACTAAGGGGTCGAGGGACCAAAAAAAATCACCTATTAGGTAAAATGTGCACAGTTTGAGTAGGTGGGTATACTTAAAGCCCAGACCAAAACTATTCATACTCCCCCAAAGCTACTGAAATAAAAAAAAGGAAAAGAAAATATTTCCACTTCTAAAATATAAAATAAAATAAAATTTATTTCTCTATGCAGGTTATTATAAATAAAATAATCACATTGGCATTAAGACCATCAATTTCTGAAAACATACTGGAGGTGACTAACTCAGGCTCTAGAGTAGAATTTGAATTCCTTACTCTGCTTTAATAATAACTGCATAACCTTAGACAAGACATTGAACTTCCCTGGGCTTTTGTTTTCTGATATATAGAAAAGGGAAAATAATAGTTTCAATTCTTAATGTGTCATAAGAATAAAAGAAGACAATGAATGTGAAGGGCTTGATGCAGAGTCTGTACACACAACGTGTTTAGTTAGATGCAATTTATTATTATTAGAAATAGGTGTTACAGTCTTAAAAATAGCCTAAATGGTTTTAAGTCATGATTGTGTTCCTTATTGGAAGGCTGTTGTTTTAGTGTAAGAACTAATGATGAATTCCCCATTGCACTATTTCTTGACTTATTTTTTCTGCCTTGGATTACTTTTACATGTGCAATATTTTTCTGTGATTAATAACAATGCATTAGAAGTAAGAGAGATTGTAGTTGCCCAACACTTTATGCATAGGGTTAGGGATACAAACACACACAAACAGTGCCAAAAAAGTATACACATTTTAAGAAAGGGAAAAAGCTCTATTAAAATTGTAATACTCATTATATACCAATGACAAAAGATAAATACAAGTCATGTTTGACTTCTGCAATTACATATTGCCACCGTAATTAAATTCAAATTTTTTTAACTTTTAATTTTTTTATTTTAAAATAGTGGGGTACAATAGTTCAGGGTTAGGTATACAAATATTCACTGTGCAGGTCCCTGGGTTGATAAGGTTTACACCCCCTCCCCAGGCAGATTCTCAGTACTGTCAATCCTACCTCCCCGCCCCCACATTCCCCCACAGTTTCCCACTACTGTCAAACCTTTTCTTATAGTATTACGATAGTTGTTTAGGGTCCACTTATGACAGAACATGTGATACTCAGTTCTTTGTTTCTGTGAAAGATCACTTAGAATTATAGACTCTAAGTCCATCCAGGTTGCTGCGAAGTTCATGATTTTTTTCCTTCTTTACAGCTGTGTAATATTCCATTGTGTATATGTACCACATTTTTAAATCCAGGCCTCTTTTGATGGGCAGCACAGTTAGTTCCATGTTCTTGCTATTATGAACAATGCTGTGATAAACATACGCGTGCAGGTATCTTTTTCATAGAGTGATTTGATTTCTTCCGGGTGGCGAAGTTCTAGGGGAATTGTGGAATCATATGCAAGGTCGATTTTTAGAACTTTTAGAACTTTTAGCTGTTTTCCACACAGGCTGTACTAGTTTACACTCCCATCAACAGTGTGGAAGTGTGCTCTTTTCACCACATTCTCGCCAGCATCTGTTATTTTATGAGTTGTTGATGATGGCCATTCTGACTGGAGTTAGGTGGTATCTCAGTGTAGTTTTAATTTGCATTTCTTTGATGACAAATGAGACTAAATGTTTTTATGCATTTGTTGGCTGCTCGTACATCTTCTTTTGAAAACTGTCTATTCATATCTTTTATCCGCTTTGTAATGGGGCTGTTCATTTTTTTCTTTTCAGCATGTTTGAGTTCCTTGTATATCCTAGATGTTAGGTCTTTGTCAGACATACAGTTGGCAAATATTTTTTCCCAGTCTGTGGGCTGTCTCCTTGTTCTCTTGAAGGTTTCTTGGCTTTGCAGAAGCTTGTCAGTTTGATGAGGTCCCAATTGTCTATCTTATCTCTTCTGGCATGGGCACTTGGGGTTTTGATCAGGAATTGATCGCCAGTTCCAATTTCCATAAGAATGTCTCCTGCATTTTCTAAGGTTCTTATCGTTTGAGGTTTTACGTTTAGGTCTCTGATCCATTTAGAATTGATTTTTGTGTATGGGGATAGGTAGGGGTCCTGTTTCAATCTTCTGCATGTGGTCAGCCAGTTTTCCCAGCATCATTTACTGAATAGGTTCCCCTCTCCCCAGTGGTAGGTGGTGGAGGCTTTGTCGAAGATGAGTTGGTTGAGAAATTGAGGTTTTGCTTCTGGAATCTCAGTTCTATCCATTGGTCTATATGCCTGCTCTTGTACCAATACCAGGCTGTTTTGATTATTGTAGCTTTAAATAAAGTTTAAAGTCTGGGAGTGTGATACCTCCTGCTTTGTTTTTGTTGTTGTTGTTTGTTTGTTTGTTTGTTTGTTTTTTGGCTGATGATTGTTTTGGTTATTAGTGGTCGTTTATGTTTCCATATGAATTCCTGTATGGTTATTTCTAGGTCTGAGAAGAATGTTGCTGGTAATTTGATGGGTATTGTGTTAAATCTGTAGATTGCCTTAGGTAGAATGGACATCTTCACAATGTTGATTCTTACAATCCATGAGCATGGAATATTTTTCCACTTGTTTGTGTCATATTTATTTCTTTGAGCAGTGTTTTGTAGTTTTCTTTGTAAAGGTCTTGCACGTCTCTGGTTAGGAAGATGCCAAGGTATTTCATTTTTTCTGTGGCTATTGTGAATGGAATTGTGCTTTTTATTTGGGTTTTTGTTTTTTTATTACTGGTGTATAGGAATATGATTGTCTTTTGCACATTTATTTTATACCTTGAGACTTTACCAAAGTCCTTTATCAGTGCAAGGAGGTTTTGACAGATTCTCTTGGGTTTTCGAGGTATAAAATCATGTGTTCTGCAAAGAGGGATGACTTGATATCCTCTTTTCCTATTTGGATACCCTTGGTCGCCTTCTCTTGTCTGATTGCTCTTGCTAGGACTTCCAAAACTATGTTGAACAGGAGGGGTGAGAGTGGGCATCCTTGTCTTGTTCCAGTTTTCAGGAGAAATGGTTCCTATTTCTGTCTGTTTAGCAGCATTCTGGCTGTGGGTTTCTCGTAGATGGCTCTTACTATTTTGAGGTATGCTCCATCTATGCCTAGATGTTCGAAGCTTTTTATCAAGAAGGAGTGCTGTATTTTATCAAAAGCTTTTCTGCATCTAATATTATAATTATGTGGTTTTTGTTTTAATATATTTTGATGTATTTAATTATGTTTGTGGTCTCATGAATGTTGAACCAACCTTGCCTCGCAGGGATGAAGCCTTCTTGGTCATAGTAGATGATTTTTGAGATATGTTGTTGAATCTGGTTTGCTAGGATCTTGTTGAGTATTTTAGTATCTATGATCATCAAGGATATTGGCCTGTAGTTCTCTGTTTGTTGGATCTTTACCTGGCTTGTGTATCAATGTGATGTTAACTTCATAAAATGATTTGGGGAGAGTTCCATCTTACTCCATCACCTGGAATACTTTCAATAGAATTGGTATTAGTTCCTGCTTGTATTTTTGTAGAATTCTGCTGGAAAGCCATCTGGTCCAGGGCTTTTATTTGTAGATAATTTTCTCATGATATAGTCCATTTTCTGGATAGTTATCGGTCTATTTAGGGTCTCGATTTCTTCATTTTTAATCCTGGGAAGGTTGTGTGATGTCAGAAACTCTTCCATTTCCTTTAGGTTTTCAAGTTTGTTTCCATACAAGTGTACATAGTAATCTCTGATAATCTTTCGTATTTTTTCAGGGTCAGTTGTTACTTCATCTTTTGTGTTTCTGATTGTGTTTTTTCTCTCCTTTTCTTGGTCAGTCTAGCTAGGGGACCATCAATCTTGTTTACACTTTCAAAGAACCAGTTTTTGTTTCATTGTTTTTTTTATTTGTATTATCTTTTTTCCTTCTATGTCCTGGATTTGGACTTTTATTTTGGTGATATGGATTCTTCTGCTGAAGTTAGGATTTTGGTGGTCTTGCTTTTCCAGCTTACTCAGGTGACTTGCTAGGGTGTTCACTTGTGATCTTTCCATTTTCTTCAAGTGTGTGTGTAGAGATATGAATTCCACTCTTACTACTGCTTTCATGGCATCCCAGAGGTTTTGGAAAGATGTTTCTTCATTTTCACTTTTTCCAGGTATCTTTTAATCTCTGTTTTGATTTTCATGTTGACCCATGAGTTGCTTAGCATCATGATGTTTAGTATCCATGTCTCTGTGGTTTTTTGGGGAACTTTGTTATTTTTATTCCACTGTGGTCTGAGAAGGTGCATGGCAGGATTTCAATCTTGTGAAATTTGTTTATGCTTGATTTATGACTGAGGATATGGTCAATATCTTTGAGTATGTCCATGTGGTAATGAGTAGAATGTATATTCCATGATTGTTGGGTGGAGTGTTCTGTAGGTATCAAGTCCATTTGTTCAAGTGTCACATTGAAGTTCTGGATCTCCGTGTTGATTTTTTGTCTTGATGATCAGTCTAGAGTTGTGAGTGGGGTATTTAAGTCCCCAGCTATGATAGTGATAGAGTCAATATCTTTTTAAGTTTATCTAGAAGCCGTTTTATGAAAGTTAGTACTTCTATGTTGGGTGCATGTATGTTTAGGATGAATATTTCTTTTTGATGGATTGAACCTTTTTTCATTATGTAGTGACTTTCTGTATCTTTTTAAATTTTTGATAGCTTACAGGGTATTTTGTCTGATATTAAGATTATAACTGCCACTTTCTCTTGTGTTCTGTTAGCTAGGAATTTTGTTTCCCATCCTCTGACTTTGAGTCTGTTAGTATCCTCTCTGGTGAAATTAG